AAATAACGAGGTTGAGGGTCGATTACCCGTTTTGGCAACCTCTATAATGCGCGATCGTCATTCTCAATTTCTAAGCCTATCGTCGTTTCCCCGTAACAATATAAGCTTATTATTAATAATTACAAGTTTTATATTAAATAACAAAATTATAATATTTGAATATTTAAATATAAATTACTGATATGAAAGCAATTTATTGTAACATAACATGTATTTAAAATAGTTTATCGATAATAATTTTGTAAATAATAAAATATGTAAACGTGGCTTGCTTGACTAGTTGAAAAAATAATTTATTTATAAAAAACTTATTATGTCTATTGTTTATAAGAAAGGATTATTTAAAAGAAAAACCAACACATACTTTTAAATTTGTATATTTTTTTAATATATAATTATTGTTTTTTTTTTGTATAAAAACATTTGAAAACATTTGAAAACATTTGAAAAAATAAAACAAATAGACAATTTTTAACAATATAATTCTTTATTAATTTAAAAAAATTATAAATTAAAATATAATATAATTATAATGCAATTGTTTTCTTTCGTTTTTTTAAAAAAGTTTTAACTGGTTTGAAAATTTTACGACTAGAATGAATTATTTGTTTTCTAATTTAAATAAAATCCTATTTTATAAAGTTTATTTATCAAATATTAAAATTCAATACAACAATTTTATATTATTTAATATTAATAAGAAACAAATTTAAATTCTAATAAGATATTTGATATGAAATTAATTATAATAATTTTGATTATATACTTATGCTACATATCTTGCGATGTAAATATACAAAAAAAAAAGGAAAAGTTACGATGAATAAATATCTTTATCATGAGATCTTTGGTTTTATGAAATAACGTAAACTTGACACGGTAATTATTTTTACTATCCGTTAAAGATTAATCGAATTTTCGATTATCGGTTTAAATTTTCTTTGTTAATTTGTTGTGATAGTTTTTGGTCAATGCACGTTTCAAAAACATGGTGTATCTCTCATTTAGTCGATTCAACATTTTATCCGAATCAAATGATATGCCTAATAATAATGTGATAATGCAGGAAAATCCATAAAATCACAATTATATTAATATTAAAACAACAACCTTAGTAATACAGTACACAGGACATGTATGCATCGTTCATTACAGAAAATCCGTTGATACAATGTAAAACGCCAGATCTTCTAAACAGTACAATACAAACGTGACATGGCTAAACAGTGGGACAGACGATCTCATTAAACAAAGAATATTTTCTTTAAATGGAAAAATGATTTGTCATATGTGGAAACTTGCTAAATTAATGAATTTGTTTATAACAACAATTCGATTGAAACTCCATTGCGCCTTCCAAAGAAGTCATGCTACCCAAAGCACTGTTTCTCGTTGACTTTCCTACATGTAAAAAGTGTCAAACGAGAAGATTAAAGAGGTTAGGCACTACAGTACTGCTTATGATGAATAAAATTAATTTGATGTTTTATTATGCCAATACTTCTTATCAAAGAATATTTCAAAGTACAAAAAATTCAAATGCACAGCAGTAATTGCGATTTTTCGATATAATATTAATCCACAAGTAATTACATCTTGTATAAACAAAAATGTCTATCCGAACGAAATATGCAAAAGTTGTCAACAACTTTAAGATAAATCAAACGAATGTTAAAATTTTTGATAGAATTAATATTAAAAAATTAAAAATAATGCAAAAAATGAAATAACACGTGACAACAAATTATATAAGAGGTTGAATCCAATTTTCTCCCAAAAATGTAGAATAGTCATAAAAAACGTCTGAAGCTATTCCCAAAAATTCAATAGTGTCCATAGAAAAAATTGAGAAATCCTGTGTTTCAAAAGTACAAATTCTCTGTTCATATGGGACATAATCTCCCATTTGAGAAGTTTGACCATCCAGAGAAGGCCATGATGAAGTCAGTATAGGAGAATCCATAAGTAATCCATTAGGGAAACCAATTTCATTTAGAGGAGGTTGAGACGTAGTCGGGAGAGATTCATCGGGAGACAGTTGGTTTTGCGGAAGCTGATTCATTTTGGTAATATGATTGTATAGCTGTTCAGCTTCTTTCGAGATTTTGGCATAAACTTCCTTTACATGAGATGGGGCTGCTTCCCACGAACGTGCCACCATAGAGCTCAGTTCAGTCATTGGTAAGTTATGGCCATTGCTCTTTAAATGCTTAACATAAGCGCTTCGAAATATGATAAAGCTATTGGGGAATCGCGCCAGCCTTGGTTTTGCCATTAACTTATCGACCACCTCTTCCAAAGTAGGAGGAAATAACGGTAAACTTAGTGGCGGGTAACGCGGGATTTTTTTTATGTTAAATGTTGGTTTATCTCTCAAACGTTTAAGTTTCTTTTTTCGATTTTTACCATTGATATGGTCCATCTTTTTTTATGGTTTTTGAGTTTTGAGTTTTTACAAGGGAATTTTGTATCTAAAAGTTGAAAATAAAAATAATAACGAAGAAAACACTCACACACAAAAAAATATATCGTTATAATGTGTCTACTTTTATAGGTTTTTTCTATAGTGATGCTGCGCAATTAAAATGAATAAACGAGATGTCAAAGTTAACTATTTTTATTTTGTCTTACGTTACCTATAATGGAAAATACTAAAAATAAAAAGGTGTAACGATAAATTGGAAAAACCTTTTCTAGATTTTGTAATATCACAGGTCACATGATTTGGTATCACATTTAAAATTCAGGGCATGAGCTAGGGATATAATATACTGTACATGTATATGCTTCCACCAAATAACTTTTTCTTTGTAATAAATTGACCTACATTCTTGGCATACAAAATCTTGGTATATTACACATTACAGGACAAGAAGCGCAGTAGGTCTCGTAGGATACTGTATAAATCATGCCGTTATTACGTATAGGGTTACAACACGTTATGTGTACGGATCGACATGGATATTAAATTGTCGAACCCGAGCATTGCCATTCTCTGAACACGTGCATAATGTACACAAACACGTCATAACTAAAACGATACAAAAAAGAAATTTCGAAATTCGAATTAAGCACATTTTGCTTAGACAATCCATTCCCTGGAACATAGCATAGTACATTCGACTTTCACAAAATTCAAAAGAAAATTCTGTTTGTGAATATGAAACTCCCGAGAAATTGATGTGTGAGAAGACATGTATTTGATAAACAAAAAAAAATTTTTTTTAATTAGCGGAGCTCGGAGTTGTTGTGTAAGATATCTCGATGTAATTCCGATCGTCACACTTTTTTGGACTTTATTTATATCTTTGTGTTCAGGTAGGAACCGCCAAACTGTTGTGTTCTTTGAGTTTACTCATCCGTACGTTTCCGATGGAAAAAAGAAAATGATAAAGTAACGCTTGCACAAGTAGATAACAATCAAACACCTGAAACATCTTGTCACTAATAAGCTTCTTATGAAGTCTGGACCGAGAAAAATCTGTTCCAAAGATGGAAAAATGGACAGTATGTTTGGAATGTTTGCGACCATAGTAAATGAGTTACATGATGACCGGATGATTGCATTGTACTGTATTGTGAATATTTGACGTCATTATAATTTCGGTAAATACTGGTTCAAAGTGTTTTGAATTTATATTTGTAGTTCTAGTCGATCAAACTATCATACATTGGAAAGTAGTATAACAAACGGGTCAAAGAGTATACTAAAAAAAAAAAAAAACTGTCGATTTCTACAGTACGATCCTACGAACGAATAATTCATGCATCTCGTCTTGAATGACATTACTAAAATAGAAGTGATAATTGCATAATGTACAGAACTACGAGGAAACACACGGTATCTGGATGACAATAGAGAGACAATAATACTTCCAGCTATGTAAAAAAATTTTTTTTCTATGATGCTATTCGTGCACTGGAGTAAGCCACCTTTTAATCTCATTGTCTTAAGGACACAAGTAGTGTAAGATGATAAAAACTGTAGCATTGCCAAGCGTTTCATCATAACTCAATTTTGGTATGAATGATTGTGAGTTTTGAGATTTCTAAAATTTTAGGTTTTAGGGACTTTGGGAACCATCCACCTTTTTTTTTTTTGGTATATAAGGCACGTGTATAAATATAGCGAAGAGAGAAAATTATATGTTCACGAATTAATTCTTAAGTAAAGGAACGTTATTTTTATTTATCTAGAACCACCTCTTTAATACTGTAACAACAATATTAATTCACTATAAGACATCCTTGACCTGAATTCGCGTTAAAAAATCTGCAATAAATAAATAAATAAATAATAAATAATAATTTTTTCCTTTGATTTCAACTCGTGTACGCACAATATGATTACCGTTTTCTTTAAAATTATTTACATTTAATTTTTGATATATGGAATTTAATATAAAATTAAATTATGTTGTGTTAAAATAATTTCTGTTTTACTCAAGATTTTAATTTTATTCTAGTAACACGCATGGATACCTTTACGAATAATGAAAAAACATACATTATTAAAATTTTTGTCGAATAACATGTTCTCAGGTTGTATTATCTAGCTTAATTCAAACGCGACGCCGACGCATAAGATCGTGCTGGGAGCGTATTTACCCTTTGGCTTTACATCGCTCGAATAAATACCCGAAGAACTTGTTTTACGGTATCGTCTATTAGCTATCGTAATGTCAATAATGGAAAAGGCACAGCTTGTGCGCAAATGTTTTTCTCGTACATATTAAGGTTATAGTGTTTAACTCAAACCTTGAGGCATATGTTTAACTTGATAAAGTGCGTCTTCTATTAACCTTAAAATTTTATGCACGTCCCACCATCGTATCTCCCCTTAATCCCGACATTATATAACAGTATATACCGTATACTATATAAGTATTATTATTATTTGAAGCACAAAGTTTGTTTTGGCATAAAATTGTGAAGAGTGGTATGATTACAGGATGTAGGGAGTTGAATTTCGAGACGAGGCACGTAGGCTATGTAAACGTAGACTATGTAAAAAATATTACCGTAGGCTTGTTGGCGAGTCTGTCACCAACACACGAAGAATTTAGTAGTTAGTGTGTAAAGGTAGAAAGCAAGTGTTTAATTAAAGCCTACTTTTAATGCATATTTTAATTTCGGCGCTTACTTTTATTCTTCTTGACTAACACTTGAATACTGTCCTAATTGCAGAACAATTCTAGTTATTTATTAGCCACGTGAAAAAAGAGCACGGGTAAGAGTCTATACTTAAATGCCAATTAAATGGCGCGCTACATTTTCTTCATTTACGATCTTATTTATACATTGCTAATCTCGCGCCACATGTTATTCTACTCCATTATTTTCTCGTCGTTCCTCTCATAACAACATTAATCACGTAACGAGACATCGCGTTGTGTACCGCGCCCCACTATTACGCACACAGCACATTGTAGGAAATCCATTAACAAATTTTTTAAAAAGCTTTACGATGTGATATATGAACATGCAAATGGTTGGGTTTATATAAGATGTAGTATTACAGGGTGTCCGCATTCGGTTTGGTTTTCTCACTCTTGAGGCGTGTGGATTTTTCCGATTCTTCTCTCGCTCTTCACTAACTTTTCCTCTTGACTATTAATGGAAACTCTGCTCAATTGCTAGAATTTTCTCTCCTTTTCTAGTCAATTATGATTCCCTAATAGTTATGTGAACAACACAGTGTTGTCGTCACCGGCGAGTCTGTCGCTAACCTTGGCTTATTCTCAAGTGACGATACAGTAATACGAACGCTAGGATTTTGGCACTAAATAATGTACGGCTTAGCTCTGAGGCGGGTTACGATTTTGCCGGATTTTTACACTTGTCAATATCATCTTGACCATTCCTCTAGGCGCATCTCAAGATTATAAGTGTCTCTTCACAGTGAAAAATGTAACGTTGATTTCTTCCTTGAAGCCTACTTTACTGTACTTATAGTTTATAATTTATAGGATGTGTTATTGTAAGAAGTTGTAGCATTTATTTAATAAAGCGTGAAAAATCAAAAGAGCGTTCCAAAACTCTAAACTCAACTCGTTAAACTATGTAAAACTATCCTATTTATATGCTTTGTTGACACGTCCACCCAGTTACATGTCTTTACCAAATTATTAAATCATTCCTTATCATGCGACGCGTCCTGATTGTCGCTTTTCCAACCCAATTATTCCTACAACAGATAAGAGTTTATACTTTAGACTTTTTATTTATTAGAACACCAAATATCAGTACATTATATCTTTCCTTTATTTCTCTTCATTTGGCAGGCACATTATACATGCTACATTATCACATGCGCCGCATGCTTATATGCGTCATTCTCTGGTTTTTCCACGTCAACTTTCCCACTATTTGTTTCTACAACTACTCTAATCACGCAACAAAACATCGCGTTACGTTACTGGGCCCAATTTCCCAGGATTATAAATTGTTTCGAAAAGACATTTAAGCAAATTATTATGATTATCCCTTTTAAATGTGTTTTTTAGGCGTTAAAAGAATATGATCAATTAAAGCTCGAATATGTTATAAAATATATCTCGAGACATAATATTTCTATACATGCCATTTTTTATTACCATGTAAAGATGTTAATATTTTTATGTACTACCTTAATAATTGTATATCGTAAATTTATTATTATAATAATTTTTTGAAAATTAATATACCGTGCTTTTTTAATCACAAATGTGTAATATTATGGAATATAAGTTTACTGCCATATTAACAATTTAACCATATCTATAATACTAGTACCAAATAATTAATATTAATTTGGAACTATAGAATTACAGTATTCTTGATATAAAATTATTTTGTTGGTGAAATTGTTGTTATATTAGAACTTGAAATACGTAATAAATTATTATTGTTTTTGACCAGAAAGTTATCTTGTAAATCGGATTTCACTTTTCAAAGGTCTTTTTTAAAATTTGATGGGGTTTTTTTTTTATTTGATCAAAAACAAAGTAATAGATTTAAATTGCAAAATTCACAAAAAAAATTGTAATGTCAATATCAAACAACAAATTATCATTGTTAAACTATCTGTTAATAATTATTTTATTCTTGTTAATATTTTTGAATAAGCATTATATTTAAAGCATAAATAATTGTAATATAAGTAAAATTATTTTTAAGATAACCTGGTTTTAATTGGAACTTGATTTGAAATAAGTTTTAATATAGATTTGAATTAGATTTAATTATTTTTTTCCTTTAATTAAATGACTATTTTGAATTATCAAGAGTTTATAATAATAAAAAATTACTTTTAGAACTATTGTAAGCTTTATTATTTTACAACATTAAAAATATTTATCAATTAAATTATATTTACTGTATGATCAGTTGGACCCAGAATTTCTTAGTATTTTCCCTCTTGACATATCCATAAACAGGAAT